TTAGTTACGCTCTCTATCCCAAATCATCCAACCCACGCCTCTCCCGATTCTTTTATCAATTTATCTTTTTTTTCTGCAATATTTCTTTTTATCTGTTCAATTTGTATTAGAACAATCTTTAAAGAAATTGCTACACTCAAGTCCACAAAACAGGAAAAAAAAAAAAAGAGTTAAAGAAATTTTAGTCATATTCTTTTGAGTTCAACATATTCTTTTGAGCTCAACATATTCTTTTTATCTGATCAATTTGTATTAGAACAATCTTTAAAGAAATTGCGACACCCAAGTTCACAAAATACAAAAAAAAAAAGAGTTAAAAAATTATTGATTATGTGACAGCCAACAAAGCCATATTCTTTTGAGCTCAACATATTCTTTTTATCTGATTAATTTGTATTAGAATAATCTTTAAAGAAATTGTTACACCCAAGTCCACAAAACACAAAAAAAAAGAGTTAAAGAAATTATTAATGATGTGACAGCCAACATAGCCATATTCTTTCGAGCTCAACATATTCTTTTTATCTGATCAAATTGTATCAAAACAATCTTTAAAGAAATTGCTACACCCAAGTCCACAAAATACAAAAAAAAAAAAAAGAGTTAAAGAAATTATTGATGATGTGACTGCCAACATGGCCATATTCTTGTGAGCTCAACATATTCGCTAGCATGTTCTTCAATGCGACGCAGACAAGGATAAGATTTGTATCAGAACAATTTATCTGATCAATTTGTATCAGAACAATCTTTAAAGAAATTGCTACACCCAAGTTCACAAAACACAAAAAAAAAAGTTAAAGAAATTATTGATTATGTGACAGCCAACATAGCCATATTCTTTTGAGCTCAACATATTCTTTTTATCTGATCAATTTGTATTAGAATAATCTTTAAAGAAATTGTTACACCCAAGTCCACAAAACACAAAAAAAAAGAGTTAAAGAAATTATTGATGATGTGACAGCCAACATAGCCATATTCTTTCGAGTCAATTTGTATCAAAACAATCTTTAAAGAATTTGCTACACCCAAGTCCACAAAATACAAAAAAAAAAAAAAAGAGTTAAAGAAATTATTGATGATGTGACAACCAACATAGCCATATTCTTTTGAGCTCAACACATTCGCTAGCATGTTCTTCAATGCGACGCAGACAAGGATAAAATTTGTATCAGAACAATTTATCTGATCAATTTGTATCAGAACAATCTTTAAAGAAATTGCTACACCCAAGTTCACAAAACACAAAAAATAAAGAGTAAAAGAAATTATTGATTATGTGACAGCCAGCATAGCCATATTCTTTTGAGCTCAACATATTCTTTTTAGGGATAATTTCATAAACCTCCTCCTGAGGTTTTATGAAATATCACCTAGCTTCCTTGAGGTTTTTAAAATCTCACTTAGCACCCCTTGAATTGACATTTTGGTAACATTGAAAGCCCTTCTAACCAAAAGTAATATTAAAAAATTCATGTTTAAGGAGAGAGATTATTTTAGTGCCTTTAATACCCTTAGACTATAAAAAAATGAACATTTTACAAACCAAGGAAAAAAAGTACTAAATTGGAACCATCTTAAAAGTGAGGAGATGTAAATTGGTAAGATTTTTATGTTACAACAAATAGTCACTTCTACAGTAGGAAGAGACAGTAAAAGAAAATAATATTTTTTAAACCATTTCTACAAACCAAGGAAAAAAAGTACTAAATTGGAACTATCTTAAAAGTGAAGAGATGTAAATTGGTAAGATTTTATGTTACAACCAATAGTCACTTCTACAGTAGGAAGAGACAGTAAAAGCAAATAATATTTTTTAAACCATTTCTACAAATAGAACCCTTCATAGTGTTGAAGGTAATTAGCATGTAAAATCATACATTTGAGCAAAAAAAAACTTAGTAATAGATGAAATTTAACTTCAATATCATACAAAAAATTTACTCAAAATAGACAGACTTTTTTTATGGGTGTGAAATATAAAAATTTTATTATAGAAAAAGTTAGAATTTGAAAAACTGTCGAAGTTTCAATTACTTTATTTCTCTTGTGCTCTACATGAATTGGAATAAATAAATAAATAAAGTTGTGAAACACCAAAAAAGGGAAAAAAAATAAAAAGAATCGGCAGTTATTCTTCTCCAAATGCATTGAATATTTCATTGATTAAATCCTATATTTCATTGACATTTACAATTCAATTATATATATATGTATGTATGTATGTATGTATGTATGTATGTGTGTATGTTTGTATAGACATTGAAAAGAAAAGTAGGAAATTTAGACAAAGAAAAACAAGTTTAGAATATTTAAATAGGGAAAATGCACTTTTCATCCTCAAAGTTTGCGGGGTTGACCAATTTCATCCTCAAAGTTTCGTAATTTTGACCAATTAAGGACAATTGACAGGAAATATCCAATTGACCGTTACAACCAACGGTTTTACCCAATAAAAAATGGGTAAAACCGAATGGAGCTAACTTTAAAGGAACAAATGCAACGGACGGACGAAAAGCTCCATTGTTGTCCTTTTTCCCTCTGTCTTTGAACCCCAAAATTTTTTGGCCAATCTTTGCAGCTTTAAACATTTCATCCTCAGAGCATCTGGCAGTGGAGCTCCCTGTGCTCTCATTTTTGCCTAAATGAGGAGCAGAAGTTCTGAAGTCTCCAGTGGTTCATCGACTCCATTCTGCAACTGTGGGTTAAGAACAAAAATGAGCACTTGTTGGCGCGGCGAGAATCCGGGAAGAAGATTCCTTGGTTGCTCTCTGTGGCCGGTAAGAAATATTTGTCTAAAAATGTTGGTCCTTCAATGTGTTAATTTAACTAACTAATTTCTTTGAAATGTCATTATTGTTATAGCAGAGACCCGAGAGATGCAGGTACTTTGAATGGGTTGATAAGCCAATTTGTCCAAGAGGGAGAGTTCTCATTCCTGGTTTGCTGAAAAAGATTAACAAAATGGAAGAACAAGTTGAAAGAATGCGTAAGAGGGAGAAATTTTTTATTACGATAATTGTGCTTTTGGTGGTTTTGCTAGTAATGAGTTGGAGCAGTAAAGGCGAGGGAAAAGTAAAGAGAGGCAAGTTGCTGCTAACACTGGAGTGATTTTGCTAAAATTGCAGAAGAACATTTTGAAGCTGGCTGTGTTTGTTGTTGGAACGAGAGTTGCATTTTTTTCCTATGAAGTAATATCCAATTGCAGGGTATAGAAAGGGACTTATTTTGTTTGTACAAAGGCTCCAAATGAACTCTGCAATTTATGTAAAAGGTGGGATTTAGGAAGGGAAATGTATTTGGCAACAATGCAATTTATGAACTCTGCAATTTATTTTGTTTGTAAAGTTATGCGTTGAGTGTAAGAAAATGGTCCTTGTCAAAGTATTGTTCATATCATATATATAAAATGGCCATGAACTGATTAACCACATGTACTGATAATACAAACAGATGCAAATAAACCACGCTGGAAAACAAATGCAAATAAACCAAGCTGATAAACCAAGATTGTCCCACATGTACTGATGAACCAAGTTGGAAAATAAATGCAAATAATACAAACAGATGAACATGAAAACAGCTGCCATATATGTATATCATAACTTCAATACAATTAAAGTGCATTCCAAATGAAATAAAGCAAACTACATGACTGTTGTTGAACATGGGTCCATAAATGAAATAAAGCCAGCTATCACATTACAGCCTGCACTTCCATCATTACTAGGCAAGGCAAAAGTTGAAACAACAAAAGTCATTCACTAATTACAAAAGCAGCAACTTGGCTTGAACAAAAGCAGCTTGGCTTGAAGAAAATTCAGCATGTTGTTTCTCCTATCACAGTAGCTTCTCCTTTCCCTTTGATCTAGATGAACTAGGAACACTTAAATCTGCCTTGGCAGCAGCAGCAACATGCATATGAACATCTCTAATTCTTAAGAGCATTTGTACTTGTTCTTTAGTTTGTGTTTTGGCTTCCTTGGTGCTATATTTCACTTGAGACCTTGACAGCCCAAACACTTCGTACATATTCTGGTCTACTTGATCTAGGGCTGAGGATGTTATCCCAATCTCAACCAGTGGCTCAGCATTCTGTTGATGTTCAGTGTTTGAATCATCATTACAAACTGTAGCTGCAACTCTTCTTGTACGTCTATGTCTCTTCTGCACAAAACAGTGAGGTAGCAAAAGTCAAATTGCATAAAGACAAAAAAATCAAAAGATGTAGCAGGTTTTTCTACTCTTTTATTTGAAGACTCAGCAGCAGGCTTCTTGGTTTTCTTTGTTCCCTACAGTTTAAAAGGAAAACATGTCATTTATATACCAAATAGCAAAGATAGCTATAACAAGTCATCAAAACAACTTACAACTTTTTTTCCATCTTGGCTAGTTGGATTGTTGGTAGAAGCAGCAACTTGGCTTGAACTAATATCAGTTTCTGCAACTGCAGGATCTTGAGCATCTTTGAGAAGCTTGCAGGACCTCATATTATGTCCCCTTTGATGACAGTATCTACACTTGTTAATCTGTCCCACTCTTGTTACATTCTTCTTAGTTTTTTTCTTGGCTTGTTGAACTTCCTCTGCACTTCTCCTTCTCAATTTCTTAGGCCTTCCAGGTGCTCTCCCATATAAGGGTGGCAAAGGACCTTCACCAACATCAGTAAGCCCCCATTCACTTTCTCCATTCATGGGATACACTGATCCTTCATAGCACTTCATATATGTCTCCACTGTATACCATTTTGAAACATATAGCAGAGGATCATTTTTAGCCATCCACAATGTAGCAATGGCATGGGGACAGGGAATACCTGTTAGTTCCCATTTTCTGCAAGAGCATGTTTGCTCCTTGATGTTCACTGCATATTGGTCACCATATGGGCAACTGACTTCATAAAGATCATCATTTGACTTGAATAGAAAACAGTCAGGTGCTCTATCTATATTTTTCTGCATAATGTGAAGAATTCTGGGGCAGTAAGGATAAGTTTGTCACTTCTCTTTGGCCAGATCCCTATTTTTTTGCATTCTCTGCATCATGTACAACCGTATTGCTTCAAACATCTCAATTATTGGCTTCTCCCTAGCATCAAGAATTTTGCTGTTGAAGCACTCACAGATGTTATTCAATAACATAGCACATTTAGGATGGGTGCTAAAATAAGTTCTGCTCCATTGACTTGGTGGTTTGTCATCAAACCACTTGGCTGCCTCTATATCAATTTCAGCCATTGCTTCCATTCTGCTAATGAATTGGGCTGGTGTTGTTGCTTTGGCAACAGTCCATAACGCTCTCCTCAAACCTTCTCCTTTGAACCCAGTAGATGAAAAGTTATTGTGCAAGTGTTTCACACAAAATCTATGGGTTGCATTTGGGAAAATCATATCACATGCTTCAACTAGACCTTTTTGTTTGTTACTTATTATTGTCCACTCATAATCCTTTTCAATCTTCAAATCTTCTTTCAATAGTTTGAAGAACCAGCACCATGAGTCCTTACTTTCACCCTCTGCTGCAGCATATGCTATTGGAAAAATGTCATTATTGGCATCAACTCCAACAGCTGCTAGCAAAACTCCTCCTATTGATCCTTTCAAAAAAGTACCATCTACTCCAATAAACTGCCTACATCCAGTTAGGAAATCATGCTTCACTCCAGCAAAACAGATGTACAACCTCTCAAATCTGCCTTTCCCTGTTTTTGAGTCTCTAAAACCATCAACAGTTTTCATTATAATAGTGCTATCAGGATTGGATCTTAGAATTTCATGCATATAAACTCCTAATTTGCTGTACTGGTCTTTTTCACTGCTCTGAACAATTTTCATTGCTTTTCTCCTTGACCTATATGTTTGATTTTTTGTGAAGGAGCACCTATTTTCTTTCATTACCGTCTTCCTAAAATGCTCCAAATCTAATTTAGGATTACACCTAAACTCTTCACAGTACTTCTTAGCTACCCATCCAGAATGCACAAGAGGGTTATCATATGTAAAACCACATGTGTGATTATCTTCAAATGTTCTTATTTGAATAGTTCCGTCCCCACTTAATTTTCTAGCATATATAACCCAATTACATTCACTATTTCTGCATCTAGCCCTCACCCTCACTCTATCTTGTTTCACAAACTTACAAGACCTGCCTTGTTTCACACTATAATTATGTACAGCAGTCTTGAAAAGTTTCAGACTTGTAAAGGACATGTACAGCTCTAATTTTGGATTGTCAATATGCTTAGGATCAAAAGTACGAGACCTCAATTTAGACTCTTTATCATCAGACTCATGAATGCTTTCAAAATCAGATTCAGAATCAGGAACCTGTTCTGTTTCATCAGAATCAGGAACTTTCTCTGTTTCATTCAAAGGATCAGGAACCACATTTTCTTTCCTGTGATTGTCTACTCCCAACCATTCAGCATTTTTGTCAACATTATCATGAAGTATACCATCATCAGCATCATCGCCTATTTCATAATCTGAATCAATAGCTGAAAAAAAAGTCTCATCACTTGCGTTGGAATCATTATCACAATTATTAGTAGCACACCTTCCTTGACCTTCATCCCTAATATTATTGTTACCATCACCATTTTGGAGTTCATTTTCTGTCTCATCTACCTCATACGGATCATAACCAAGTTGTTGCACTAGAATTTCATGAAAAGATACTTCAAGATATAAGTTAACTTCCTTAGTTGGCCCAACCTCTCCCTTAACATAACCATTCAACTCCCTACTGCTTTCTATCCTCCTAAAGGTGTTATTTTCCCAACCATAGTACACCTTATGACCATATACACCAGCACTCTCAGTTAATCTATCAACTTCGAAAACACTTAGACCTATACTCTCAACATAGTAAAAAACACACAAATCTCCACCTTCGTAATGGGGATTAGGAGTATATAAAATGAGGCCTCCATGGTGACATCTTAATGTAATAAATGTGATGTCCGTTTCTGGTTAAAGAAAATAATATAAATCAGACTCTTTAGGAAAAAAAAAAGCTTCATCATTTCAGCACAACAAACTGTTGACCCACACAAAAACTACCAAACAAGGACCACTTTCACTTTTTCCATACACATGGTCAGATACACATGACCGGCAAAATATACCAAGTTTTATTGTTTATTAATCACTCTCATCACAAATTTATAGTCAAGCGGCAACTATCATCAGACATAAGGGACCACATTCACACTATAATAATCAAATCAAGACAAATTTTTTGATTTATTTATACCTCATGCAAATGGCCAAATCTGGAAAAAAAAATAGCCGTAAATTATAGTGGAAAAAAAGTATAAACACAAGGGACCACATATCAGGTTTCCTTCTCCAAAAAAACAGATATCTTTATGCAATGTAGTTGTTGATTTTGGGTATAAATACCGTAATTTGGAGGTGGACAAATGTGGAGCTCTTTCTTCCGCAATGCCATTTTTTTCTTCACCTAAAATGCTCCACGGATGCCGTCTATGCCTTCCTTCTTGCCAGCAGGTGCTGAAAAAATGGATGAAACGATTGGCCAAAAAAATTTTTAGAGCTGAGAACGGAGAAGAAAGAAGGAGAAGACAGGAGCTTTTTTCCTTTTGCTATTTTGTGTTTTTTGTCCGTTAAAAAAAGTGGATCCATTCGGTTTGACCCGGTTATGTTGGGTATAAAGTTGGATCTGACGAATTGTGCTTCTCACATGCAAAGTTCCGTCCCAATATTTGATTTGTCCTCCAATTCCCGTCAATTGTCCTTAATTGGTCAAAATTATGGAACTTTGAGGATGAAATGTGTTTGGGGTTAAACTTTGAGGATGAAATTGGTCAACCCCGCAAACTTTGAAGATGAAAAGTGCATTTTTTCCAATTTAAATATGAGGGTATTATTGACAATTCATCACCTTTGATATTAGTATATGGCCCTTCTATCACTTCAAGGGTACTAAGTGAGATTTTGAAAAGTTTAGGGGAGCTAGGTGATATTTCATGAAACCTCAAGGGAGGTTTCTGAAATTATCCCTTCTTTTTATCTGATCAATTTGTATTAGAATAATTTTTAAAGAAATTGCTACACCCAAGTCCACAAAACACAAAAAAAAAAAGAGTTAAAGAAATTATTGATGATGTGACAGCCAACAGTCATATTCTTTCGAGCTCAACATATTCTTTTTATCTAATCAATTTGTATCAAAACAATCTTTAAAGGAATTGCTACACCCAAGTCCACAAACTACCAAAAAAAAAATAAAAAAATAAAAAAAATAAAGAAATTATTGATGATGTGACAGCCAACATAGCGATATTCTTTTGGGCTCAACATATTCGCTAGCATGTTCTTCAATGCGACGCAGACAAGGATAAAATTTTTGCAAGAAAATGTTTATCAACATGATTAACATTCAACTCAACATGAGGCAGACAAGGAATAACATTTTTGGCAAGATAAGATAAAATCAACGTGATTAATATCTTATTATTTTTTTTGAAAAGAACGTGATTAACATTTAAAACCCAACTTGATGCATAGAAGTGATTTTTGGCAAGGACTACAGGGTACTTCAGACATGATTTTTATCTACATGATCTTACTCAACATTATCTTGCATTTAGCTCATTGATGCAGACATGCGTTTTTTGGCAACTCTATCAGGTACTTAAAAACTATTTGGTGGAAAGAAAAGTATTATACCCCTTATGTCAAGACAACAACCGAGCATGATTTCACTTTTTGGTAACTGAACTTAGAAAGAAATCCTACTATATTCTAGAGATGGATGATAAACCTGGGGCAAAAAATGTTTGTTTGCACTCAATTTTTTTGTTATTTGCACTCCCGCAATTTATTTTATTATATAGTCTAATAAATGAAAACTATATGATTAAGATGATGATAGGAGTGTAATTAACAAAAATAGGAGTGCAAATAACATTTCGCTAAATTTGCCTAGATGCACAAGTAAACCTTCAACAGCATTCATAAAAAGGCTCGAATTCAAGCAAAGCAGATGGTAACTTAAACTGGAAGAATTCAACCAAAACATAGGTGTCTAATCGCGATAAACATCCAAAATTGCACATCCTGATTAATCAAAAAGGGGAAGAGTATTGCTATCAGTAATCTGAACATCAGAACATTCGAACTGCTTATTTCTTTTCTTCCTTTTCTGCTTCAGCAGCCTTCTTCAACCGAGCACCAACATGGCGCGCATTCGTGCGCTCAAGACGCAACTTGTCGTAGGCTTTAAATGACTTCATCTCTTGTGTGACCTTGACAAGCTCCACGGTTGGCTTCTCTCTGGTGATAGGCATGTATGAACCTTGGACTTGAGTGGCAGTGGCAAGTTCCTCAGGACTTGAATCACCAGACTGAACAAGAAGACAGAAGCCAGTGAAATTTCTAGAGTCGGGGGATTGGAAATAATGGAAATGAAAGAAATACATTTATGGCATAAATTACCAGCAATCAGGGTCAACCATTATCATAACTATCAGAAACTAAACGACTGTTACAAGTGCAGGTGTACCTTGATTTTCTTGGCCCTCCTTGGGAAAATGACTAGCTTGGCTTTGTAAGTCTTGAGCCTTTGGACATTGGCTTGCAAACCTTCCAAAGAACGGTTCTTGCGACGATGATCAACAGCAATACCAATTGTTGGAGCAAGTTTTGTGGGAATACCTGCTGCCTGAAAAATGAGATACGACCATCCATGCCTTAAAACATCTCCACAGAGCACTTCAATCAGTTGGCAGAGAAAGCTAGTAGTCTCAATGGATCAGAGTCAAAATAATGTTCAAAAAACCTTTCTCTAGGTCATATGGTTTCACAATGCAATGAAGCTCCAGAAAGTAAATGACAGACAATCTTTAACTTAATGTAAACGAGGTAAAATAGGTTTTAACAAATTGACTCACCTTCAGCTCCTCAAGAGAGAATCCCCTGCCAGCCCTGACTTTCATATTGTACTTCAAGGTTTGCCCATGAACAATAGGTCGAAGCGGTCCAGCGGTTGGCCTTGGAAAAATTGCCACAGCCTTCTTTTGTCTAGCTGCAGAAATGCAACATGGAGTAAGATCATTCTAGCATTGCATGGGCAAACCTGTCAGTTTCTTGCCTATTCAAACTCCATGAAACTGGCAACTTACCATTGCGTCTCCTTGTCTTGCGGGCAGGTTGGTTAAACCAAGTTTTCACATAGTTCTGCCAGTGCTTCCTGAAGTGTGAACTGGGCACAACATTGTTATGCTTAACCATGTCTTACCTACAAATGAAAAAAACCGATTTAATCTGCAACAGTTGCCCAACGCCGAGCTTCAAGCCAAATCACTCAATAGCATCACAAGAAACAGGAGCATGAATGACTGTATATTCAACTATCAATGAAAAGAACATAACAGTAAGGCACATAATAGCACAAGGAGGGGGAGTAGTAGTTAAAATAAATGTTATTCTGAGAACTGAAGAACAAGTATAACAGCATCATTTTTCTGTTTCCAATTGATCATTGGTAAAGCCATCAAAAAACACATAACCCCATAAAAAAAACTATAACTTGCATTCAACAAATGAGAGCTAAGCTATCCTCAAATTTTTGAGCAGCCAACAATAGCAAGTTTATGCATTCAACAAATGAGAGCTAAGCTATCCTCAAATTTTTGAGCAGCCAACAATAGCAAGTTTATTTCCAAGCAGAAAATCAAATTTCTCCTGAAGTACTTGCCTACAAACAATCAACAGAAGTTAATTTCGTTACCCAATAAACCCTGAAAAAAATTCCATCAACTCATTTGCCATACCATTTTGATGTTGCTTTGCTATTACGCTCATAGAAAACAGCTAATTCAACAGCTCTTACATATTAACAAAACTTGGGACATAAATACCATCTCCACCAACTGAAAACGTTCGGTTCAACTAACACCAACAAAAAAAGGAAAAGAAAATCTCGATTTCCTTTGCAATTCAAGTCCTCCAGTGAAACCAACTTCGTACTGCCGAACCCACAAACTCCCCATTTCTACTTCTTCCACCTTGACATACTCGAATTTATCCATAAACAGTGAAATATCAAGCATCTCATTTCCATCACCATTCAGCCAATCGAGTTCAAGAATCTCATTAACTCACAATTTTCTCTGTCTACCAGTTTAAATTGCTTTACTAGCCATAGTTCATAGCAGCTAAATTTTCAGCCACATCACCCTAAATTCACAGCTTTTTCCAAATATATAACAAGCCAAGAAATCAATGTTGCTCAACCAAATCAAATACAAAAAACCTTTAACACAGGAGAGTCTCTAAAGCCCAGATTACCTCTAAATCTTTATTTATCCAACTTCATTTTCTTAACATATTTATCCATGTTAATAAACAAAAACCCAGTATGATTTCAACTGATCTATATGCATAACTCAACGAATACACGCAGAAAAAGAATTAAAATTAAGTTGGAAAGGAAACAAAAAATGCATATTATCACTAAAATCGGAGCACAAATTAATCAAAAACAGTGAAACTTGATCAGAAAAAAAAGGGCTTCTAGGGCCAAAAAGTGTAACAAACCTGCAAATTTTTGCTGAGCAAAGAGGAAGTGCTGGAGCAGAAAGATTTCTGAAGGAAGAAGAAAAATTGTAGAGGTCCTTCTTAAGAGGCGGGAGGTTTTCGGCAAGGGAAACCCTAATGTTTGATTGCGTCAATTTTTAATGGGAGGAAACGAGGCCAATTATGAATTTGGGCTTTGAGGTCCAGACACTTCTAATTGGGCTGTTATGGTAACTCTAAGAACGGATCCTTTTAGGCGGAGGGGAGTTCATAAACAAAAAAAACCGGCCAATCCAATCTAGATTGGATCTCAGATTTCGGTAAAACAAAAATTTTAAAAAATTGAAATATAACATTTGGTAAAATGGTTCGGAAATAAATATTAAAAATATTATCAAATTACCAATTACAGGAAGAATTATCAAAATTTTTTAAATAAAATGTTATACATATATATATGTGCCTAAATATAAGAGTAAATCTTAATCCTCGTACTATATACTAATTAGCTAACTTAACTATAACTATACTTTGAAGTCGAATTTTGATGAAAGTTGACATGTTGGAGTTTAGTTTGACAATTTAATTTGAAGTTTTTGTTTATTTCAGTGTTGTTTAAGAATTGAGATTATGAGTTAGGACTTAGAATTATGAACTTTTTTTTTTGCGTATCATTGTTTGAGTTAAGTTGATTGAATTTTGTTGGAAAAACATATGGAATATTATTTTGTTACAATAATGTTAAGAGAAAATTAAGATATTTTAATTCACTATTGACATTTTGAATTTCGGATATTACAAAATTACCGATTCTCTGGTCTAATTTACGAAACTAAAGCTTGGACGGTAATTGGATATTTATCTTAAAAAATCAACTCTCCGAATTACCAAAATTCTTTTTACTAAATT